ATATTTATTGAGTTTTTCTCCAAATTTGGAGTGTTTTATCGTGTTTCTGCTGCTTCCTCCATTCTGAAGAATGTTCTAAAGAATCCGTTGAGCAAAAAATTAACCCAAATTCTCAATTTTCCTCATTTTAAGAAAATGTTGAAAACTCATATTAACTTAACTCACCTTTCATTGAGATTTCTTGAAATCTTGAAATCATAATTTTCTTCATTACGATATACTTTTGACGTTTGTCACAGACGGGGTACTTTAGGGTTTATATAATATCCAGGGGATGCTTATTAGGGTTTAGGGTTTAGAGTCATGCATCACACTTTATTTACACTATAAGGTAATATTCTCGAATTTAAGGATCTTTGATATAGCGGTATGTGAGTTTTTTTAACCTTCCAGAAGGTCAAGGGTTCAAACCCCATCAAATGTGAGGAGGGTGTATGAGTTTATTTGTTCTATTTGTCGTATATAAATATTATATACTTAAAAAAAAAGGTAATATTCTCGACTATTAAAATGGATTGTTGGTAAACGTCTCTTATTTGATAAATGTTGACTGAGTAAGAATATTATTCCTCACTTACCAGGTAAGATTCTCAATTCTTGTTATGCCTCTTACCGGGTAAAGTTATCGGTCCTTACCATGCTCTGCGTAATTAATACCCGATAAACGACCACAAACTCATACCTGAACATAGTCCTTAGCGTGACTCCGGGCTATCTGCAAAGCAGGTAGTCGTCCTGAGATTAGTCGGCTCGCATAGCGGGTTGGATATCCAAGTTAATAAAAAAAAAAACATAGTCCTTAAATGTAAATTCACAATTTGGGCAATAATCATTAATTAGCTTTTACGTAAGAGACGTTAATAGTCTACCAACTACATTATTAATATTTCAATTTGGATTATTTAATTATTTTATGCTATGTTTTAAAATGAATTTTATATTAATATTGATCGAATTTAATTGATTTTGCTCCCGCATCTTACATAATAATTGCAACATTTAATTTAACACGTGGCTTAAAAAAACTTAATTAGTAATTAAATATCCAGATTTTGGATCATGTGAAATAAGACTGTTTTCGTAAGACACGATTTTTACATTTGAAATTTCACAGCAAAATACTGTAAAGGTAACTTTCACATTATTTTTGCTGTGAATATTCAGCTTTTTTTTTTTTTACCTTCACAACGTTTTGTTGTGAAGTTTCAAATGTAAAAATCGTGTCTCACAAAAACAATTTTTTTTTTCTCATGTGAACCCAATTCAAATATCCATAAAACTCTTTTAAGTAATCTTCTTATTATCATATACTTTTTGTCGAATATGTCTGATTCATTAACTAACAACTAACTTATACGCCTCCAGCTAGCTTATTTACTAACAACTAGCTGATGAGCTAGTTTGCCAAACATAACCTAAAAGGAAATTAACTTGACATTTTTGTTCGGTGCTACACACTTAAGGAGTGTTTGATTAAAAGCAGTAACTAGTAACTGATGAGATTGAAAATAAAAGAAGCTGTTTGGTTTTATATATTATAAACACTGTCACTTTTATTTTTATTCTCGTGTCACATGTATGGAAATCTGAGTTCAAGTTTTGCAAGACACGCGCCTTTGGGAATAGGTCAAGTTCATAACTGTGAAGGAGACTGTTTATTGAATTGATGGGAAACGAGTGTTTTATATTAAATATCGTGGATTTGAATAATCCAAAATGTTGATACATATTATATGAAAACCAAATTAGAAAAGATTTGTAGAATCTTTAAAAGTGTATATATATATAGAGAGAGAGAGAGAGAGGAGCGATCAAATGAAAACTACCATCATTTGTACAAACCGTACAAACCACACTCATACGTCGATTTGATTGTTTAATCTTATGATTTTTTTTTATGAAATTGTTTAATCTTGTGAAATTGTTTCATATGATATTTTTTTTGATGAATTTGTTTCATATATGGTTATGAAATTGTTTCATATAATATTTAATAAAATTTTAATGAAATTGTTTCATATAATATTTAATAAAATTTTAATGAAATTGTTTCATGTATTTCTCTAAAATTAAAATAATGAAAATGATAACATCCATGGTTAACACCCTCCACAATAAAAATTGTTAATCAACCTCTCATAATTACAAAAAAATGAACAAAATGAAAAATTATGATTGGTTGAATGTGGTTTTCACGGTTTGTACAAAT